CGTACACTTGCAATCTACAAAATTCCCCATACCCTTCCCTGCTGATCTCCTGCCTAGCCGGTTGTTCCTCGTTCTGTATTTGTGCAGCTGAAAATTTATGCTTGGGAGAAGCAATTTGCATTTGGCCTTGTTTTTTTGCACTCTGCTTTTTTGTCTAATATGTCAGGATCATTTTGAATCCATCTGAATCCCTTCAACATCCTCAGTGTCTTCTAACTTGATTTCATCTGCAAATTCAATAGATTCTTTGGAGCTACGTGTGTTCTCCTTGATTTTTCAAGGAAACAGCTAGTGAGTCAGAGTTTGTTTCTACCATTTTTCCACAGTATAATGCATTTCGCCCTTGCTTCGCTGCCTTGAAATCAATTAACAGGTCTAATTACTATGAAAACTATTCTATCCCTGGTACATCCTAAGATCTTAGTCCTTTGTGTGTTAATTGCCTTAGCTACTTGACTGTGACTGAGCTTTTCAGTAAAGTGAGGCAGAGAAAGTATTAAAGTCCGCCTCATCATCAATTGCTGATAGCTTCTTTCTCCACTGAGAAAATTTTTCCCTTGGTGTTCTGCTCATTACAAACATACATAAAGAATGTCTCCTTGCTACCTAATATCTCTTGCTAGTTGCCTCTCATTCAATGTGTTTACTTCTCTTAGTTTGCCCTAAACACTTGTGCTGCTCTTTCCTACTTGCCGTTAGTAATCTGACTTGGAACTCCTTCTTGGCTTTGAGGTAGAGCTTATTGCTTGCCCAGGCTGGTCTCTTACTTCATTTCCTGTGCTTCCTCAGAACATCTGTATTGTGCCAGTAATATTCTTTAAGGAATGCCAGCTTTCCCTAAGCTGATTTTCCCCTTATGTTTATTTCCCAGGAGACTTTATCTGCCAGTGATCTCAGTTTATTAAAGTTACCCTCTCTCAAAGTCATGCTTTCTGCTTTATTGTTCTTCATTCTCCTTTCCCTAACTGGCATGATTGCATGTCATCAGCCGTTTCAGGATTGATGCTTGATGCTTGATGCTTTTCACGTCCATATTCTCAAACAGATCCTCCTCCTAGGTTAGAATCGGATCTCTTCTAAGGATTTGAAGGAGGAGGGAGGAAATAGGAGACACTGACAGAGAAAAAGAAACAGAGACAGAAAAAAGACAGAGAAAAGAAAACATTCTAGTAGTGCAAATCTCCTCTTGGAGCCCAGTAGAAAGGGATCAAAGCTTGAAGATCCATAGATTTGGCATGGAGATTTTGCTCGAGCAAGTATCTCCCTGCAGCCAGTATTTTAATCAGCGTACTCTTTAGAGACATAATGAGAAAGGCCACCAAAATGCCTTTGTTCCTCAGTGGAAGTTCTACGTGCAGCAAAGGGGCAGAGTCAGTAGACAGTAAAGGAACAGACTGAAACAATAATAAGACATTGTTCTGTTCTGTTCTATTATTTTGCCAGTGATGGGCAGCAGCAGAGCCACCAATACATAAAGCAGTGTGATATACTTTGGCCAAAATCTGTGAAAGGCTAAGTGTCCTGAGCTCATCCCAGAGTTCACTGAAGCCGTAGTACCCAGTAACTCTTACAGGCTCCTTATTAATTAACTCCTAATTAAACTGTTGCAGCAAACAAGATCATCTAAAGTCCTAGAGACATTATGCCTTGACTTCCATGTGGATTCTTTACATTGCCTGGCTGGTAGAGAAGAGCAGCATAAAAGACATCCAAATATTTATTTTCAGGCAACTTTTAACACAGAGGATTATCCAAGTCCAAAGTCTGAAGAGCACTAAAAAAACAAATACAAGCTTGAATTTTGTGATAAGAAAGAATACGTACGTGTGTGTTTGTAGCTGGCGAGTGTAATCTTCCAGGCTGGAGACAGAAAACAATTGATGTTGAGAGAATACCAGAAATGTGTCTTTAACTGCTGGGAAAGAACAGTTCCTGGGAGCATACTCAGCAGGGAGCTGGTGTAGAGCATGGTATCTTTTCACACTCTCTTACTGCATGCTACCTATGTCAGCAAGCTCTACAGGCAGATTTCTTTTTTCAGCTGGAGCATCCCATGTGTGTTCTCACAGCCTAGCTCTGATATTTTATTTACTGTAAAATTAAGCTGTTCAGAATCGAAGGAGGCTTTAGAGCCGTATCACCGATGTCTTCACCTGGCTCATAGCGATACCTTCTTCACACTGATTTAAATATTCCCTTAGATTTGTAAGGTGCCAGGAATAACTTCATCTGCTTTCCTGAGGAAGGATTTTGCTGAGGTATGTCTGAGGTTTGTCTAAGTGAAGTAACTAAAGAGGTGCAGAGTGGAGCAGAAACAATTCACAGAGGGCTCTAAGTGAGCTTTCCTTCCTTTGATGAGCGTTTTCTTGCCCTCCAGCCTGCCTGTAGACTCTTTTACTTTTCTTCATCTATCACTGAGTGCAAGTTCTTCATTTTCAAGAGGCTGAGAGAGTCTGAGCCTTCAGGAGATCACTTATGCCAGACTTTCATATAATTTCTGAATTTGGCTGTTCCTGCCCCCTTTGTGAAGATAATGCTTTCCTGAAAGCTAGAAGTCATTTGATTGTCTTATAAATTGCATGATTACATTGCATTAAAAAAAGCTCCCAGTTCCCTGACTTTTCTGTGTAGCCTGGCCTCCTTACCTCACGAGGACTCTTTATAGCTCTCCTGGGAAATGAGTCTCCCAGGCACTCTGTAAGCTCTGGGGGTATAACATTTATCTCCATCACCTAGACACTCTTGGTGTCAGAGCTGGTATTTTCTGTGGTGTAATCTGTTTCTTCTCCATGAAATAAGAAGGCAGGGATATAAAAAACGCAGCAACAGGAAAGTTCCACGTGATTGAAATACACTTCTACTGACAGGAAGTCTTCATGCCCTATTCTGAAACTTCCCGCAAGTTCCTCTTTCCTGGGCATAATGTTTGAGGGAGAATGTCATTTTGGTCACTTAATCATGTGCTGCTTCGGTCTAATAGCAAAAGAAAGCCTAAAGCCCTTTCCCACCCTATCATGCTAGAGAATAAAGCAAGATGTGGGCCTGTAATCTGTGCTTAGCAAGCCAGCACATGATGCAGTGACCCCGTCGTGAGACACCGGTCATGTGCCAGAACTGGGGGTGTGATTTTTTTACTTCACTGAAGTATTCCCTGCTTTGCCCTGGCTGAGGTGTCAACGGATACAGCTAACCTATACAAGGCACTGCAGACTGCAGCGAAGGCCCCTCGTCACAGGGACTGTTGGCAACATGAGTCTCCAGCACTGCTTGTGGCCACAAAATATTCAGGACTGAAAATTGAGGCCAGCAGGCACAACGAAGCATGACACTGAGCCAGGGCTGGTGCCCAGGGGCTGACAAGCATTGGGGACAGACAAGTTTTCACTCAAGTGACGTTCTGCAAGATGCAGGTGACTAGGAGTAGCAAAGGCGTGATGAGTTGTTTGTCTTCCTGAGGAAGGTGGAGGTGGACAGGCAGTGCAGGAGGTTCTCAGACAGTATTCAGCCCCAAAATGTTCTTTTCTCAGAGACGCTTGTGGTGAGAAAATACTGCAAATAATTGAACACTCTGTTGCCCTGGTGTGAACAGCTGTACTCTTGAGGGGAGCTAGAGACCTGCCCATCTGAACAGCTGGTGGACTTTATGTTTATTGTGCTAGAATAAAATCCTGCTATGTGCAGGCGTTCATCACGTCGTGATGCCAAAGCTTTGTGCTCAGCAGAAAGACTGAGAGGAGGTGAATCTGCGTGACTGACATTCTGCAGTGGGTCTCTGGGTCTCCTCAGGTGGGGCTGGGAGAGGGACTAGATCTGCTGAGAGGGGCAGCTCGTTCCCGATCTGTGCATGCGCACAGAGGAGATCGTAAAGGAACCACAGGAAGGAGATGCCACAGTCTTCCTTAGTGGGATTAGGCCCCTAGGAGTCCTCTTGATTCTTTAACATCCCCATCTGTTCTCCCAGAGCCCCTTTGAACGTGGCTTCCTTACAACCCAACTTCTCCCCAGCCAAGTGGAGTTCGTGTTAGCACAAATGCATCTGGATGCTGATGCGTTCACCAGCATAGGTGTGTTTCAGAGATGGGCTTTCTCAGTGCTCACCTCAGGAGCACAGCCCAGTCCAGATCTGGGCCTGCTCCTGCTCCCTCCACAGCCAAAGGCCAGTTTTCCAGAGGAGTCCAGGTGAACTGGGAAGTCACATCACCGTTGCATTCTCCCTCATGGGGCTAGGCGTGCCCTGTGTGACTGACTTATCTGTAATCACCCTTCCAGCAGCTGGAAAACAAGCTATCTGTCTCTAATAGCTCCTCCTTCTCCAGCACTGGTCACTTAAGACCCCTGTCACCTGGCACACTTCCAGGGAAGCAAGTGCCTTTCATGCCTTTAGCTAGTGTTGCCCTGCCCCAGGGCAGGAGCCAAGGGTTGTCACACAGAGAGCTTCATTGTTATACAATGTATAACAATGTATAACAATGTATAACAATGTTATATTATAGCTTATATATCAGCTATATATATCAGTTATATCAGCTTATAGCTGATAGACATGAGCTATTTGTATAAAGGCTGACATATAAAGCATTTGTTTACTAATGGCTGCTACGGACCAACTGAGAGTAGGAGACAGGGGCTGAGAATGACTTCTAGGCGTGTCAAGCATGCATTTAAGTATAATAGACATTGGGAATCAGGAAGAGACTCCGACTGGATTTTCATTATCTTAAAGTAGATCTCATAGACCTCTCAGGTAAGCTGTGAATTCTTCTCCTCATAGTCTCTGTGCTGAATCCCTCTGGGAGTTTATAGATGTCTGTAAAGGTTCGCTGACAGCGGGCCAGGCCTTGATGCAGCATGAAGCAAACAGATGACCAAGTATTTCTGATGTGTACAGGAATTAGCAGATGACATGGTTTTACCTGCCTAGCGTGTCAAAGATGCACTGAAATGGGGAGGAGGCACTGCATTGTAACGCAGTAGGATCTTGAGAGTCCTCACAAGAAAAATACATCATCAGAAAGCTACCTCAGGCTTGTTCAAATAGGAATAGTGCTTGGGCTGCTCTGCTTTAAACCCTCATGCTGCGTATGTGAGCCATTTTGGTCTCTCTCCTCATCTGTGCCATTGAGCTCTGTGCACTTAAGGACTGCGACCGCAAGATTTGTGCATCCCAAGACTCTAGAGAGCTCAGCTGTGCTGCTCTCACTCCATTGATATTGCCTGCTGAAAGATACATTTATTTCAACATGTCAATAGTTGAAAGACTGAGCAAATAATACTGTAACACAGGCTAGCAAAATAATCTAATTGCAGCCTTCAAAACCTTTGTTGATTTCAGGAACAGGGGAAGAGATCAGCCCGTGATACAAGACAGCCTCAAAACAAAGCAGAAACTGATTGTAGGATTGCAGCCTCACTCAAATGTACAGGTAAGTAAACTGCAGTTAGAAGTAAAAAACCCTCTGTAAAAATCCCTTGCTCATTATGCAAGACCTCTACTTTTACTCCGTAAGATGGCACGCAGAGATAGCACACATCTATGTTTTAATACAGCAGCATAAATTTTTCGCTCCGGAATCTGTCCTTGAATTCTATGAGGTCAGTAAGAAGTTAAGCACAGGCTAAAAAAAGAAAACACAAGAATTCTAGAGCATTGTAGTGGGATTTTCAGAAGCACTTAGTCACCTGCTCCAACAGAAATAACTGGAAAGTTTATCTTTGACTTCAAAAGAAGACTAACGTGGAGCCAGAAGCATGGATGTAGGTAGAACAGGTTTCAAATCTGCTTCCCCAGAGTCTGCTCTATCATAAGCCAGTGGAGCATCCGTCACCTTTGCAAGGCTGAAGCGGTATTCATGTGGAATACAACTCACAGGTCAGGAAAATGGGTGTCGTTGGTCGCCAATTTTAAATTGTACCCGTTGTGGTACAGTTCACATAAAACTAAGTATGGACCGCTGAAACTGCGCTCAGTCAGGCTGAATCCAAAATGAAGCAAATGAACGCAGCAAGTATCTCTCTCCATCCCCTCTCTTCAGGCAGGCAAATGTTGAACAGAGGGATTTGGCAGTATTACCGAGTAAATTGACTTGTGATTTGCTTTGCACTTTGTTGTTCTCTATGTACAAAGCTCCTGTGAAATCAGAAGGCCCAGAGTCAGGGGCCTTTACATGCCAGGTTTTTCATCAGCTCCTGTGGGATTTAGGCCCTCAACTCCCCCGACAGTTGTAGACTTTAATCCTAAGTCTTTTAGGAGGTGTGAGTGTAGTATTTCATAAAAGATCATATAGGAAACAGTGTGTGATAACCATTACAGATACTGTGTGTCCAATTGCCTTTTGTTTCTACGCATTTTCTACCTATCATCATAGCATGTGAATTTGGCACTTTGTATTAATATTGCATTGGTCTTTATTTACTCCCTGTGCTGCATGACTTTTGAGTTGCTAAGTCAAATTCTTGTTGTCTGCCTTTTCTGTTTGGAAAAGGTCCTTGTATTCCCAGCTAATGTTTGAGAGTCAGCCCATTTAAAATCCTAGCAGCCAAGTCCTGAAGACCGTCATCTGCTGCAGCTGCTCACAGCTGCGAGTGTGCAGGGCATTTTTTTCAGATCTCAAGCTGTGTTAAGGCACACTACTTTTGAAGAGAGTAGTGTAAGTCGATGACACCAGCCTTTGGTGAAAAGGTTCTGTTTTTTCTTACTTACCCGAGATGCATCCCAGACACAAGATTCCCTGGCTGCCGGCTTTGTGTTTATATCCACAGGAGGAATGTAGCTCGGTCTGGGCACCTTTTCTCTTTTCTCTACCTCTGTTTTGAGAAGTTGGGTATGCAGGTTGTTTCGGCTGGACTCTTTGCTGCAGAAAGAAGAGACGTGACACAATTATTCATGGTCTATGGGTGCCTCTTGACAGCATAGAGGAGACCACAAGGTTTCAGGTCAGTGCAGTTTGGATAACTGTAGCTATGTCACACTCCACTTTATCCATGGGGAAAATGAAGAACTGGTGGAGCTTCAGGCAGCTTTGTGACTGCCAGAGATGCATGTATAGACTTGCAGATCTCAGCCACAGCAAAGGGAGTCTCCTTTGAAGGCCATGGCTGTGGGTCAGGCCCATAAAAGCCTCTTTGGTGTGTGTAATTGGAGGAATTAGTTAGGGTACCCAGAATATTCCATATCCACTGAGCTGCTTAAGACAAAAGACAGCAATCAGGAAATTAGTGCTGTTCCTGGAGTCCTTCTAGAGGTAAACTGTGGCAAGATGTGGAACGCATCCCACCCACAGACATACACCCCCCCCTTTTCTCTTTCCCCATCTTGCATTTTGGAAAAGAGAGACTGGGCTGAGTCCAGTCCTACATTCAGAAGCCAATTCTGAATTCAGACTGCCGTGTCCCATACTCACTGTGCTGATGACCCAGGGGTTGCTTCTGTTTGGTGTTGGTCCTTGGGGTAACGCCAAATTTTCGGAGGAGGGAGGACCTCCTCTTCATGATCACTCTTCACAGCCCTGCAGCTCTTGTGCATCTCAGCTTCCAAGGTATTCATCACCTCTAGAAGGAGCTGAGGGCCAAACAAGAGGAGAGTTCAAAAAGACTGCCCCAGCTGTTCTTACTTCCACTGAGTTTAGGTGGGACCTCACAGCAGAAAAAGGAACACAATAAGAGGATAGGCTGGAGGGAAGAATGCCCTCCACATGGGAAAGGTGGTGTCTAAAGATGTGAGAAGTAATTGTAGTGTGTATGAGACAGCCTGAATTACAGATGTGATGCAGGACACCAGACCTTTATTCTATTTGAAGAAGGAGAGATTATTTAGTATTCTGGAACGTTCAGGGATATTGTGAGATGTTTCCAAGACTAAAGGGTAAGGCCCCTTCCCTCCAGTGTGATATATTGATGGGGAAGTGTGGAGCTGGTTAAATAACTGTGCGACTCATCTCACCATGTTAACAAAGTGTCGGAGTAACCTGTCAGCTCCTCAGAGCTGTCCCTACGATAAGATCAGGGATATATTTTTAAATGGCAATTCAGACTTTGTTGCCTTGCTATTTGTAAGGAATAATGAGTTTTGACTTTTATAAAAAAAGCAACAGTCAATCCTGGACTGTTTTTGCATTTCGAGTGCTGAAAGAATGCTCATTTCAATGAAGAATATCTGCAACTAGATTGTCTTTACCTCTGGAAAGATGCTATCTTTCAAATGAGAGTAAAATGACTGAGGGTGCTGGCTCAGGTTGTGGTCTGTCTCCTCACTGAAATCCTTCTGGGCTTCCTGCTTTGACGTGAGCTTGCAGTCGGGTTTAGCAGATATCTTCCGTGCCTTCTGATGGGCCAAGTGTGATCTACTCTGTAGCACGATGGGGGAAAGCCCCTTTGTACTACGGATGATGATGTTATCACAAGGAGGAGGGAAGCCATTTCTGAAATCATCCAGACCACTTTTTAAGAATCGCCAGCGCTGGCTGTTTAGAGAATCTGAGAACCTGTGTTTGGTGCTGTGTGCTGGAAAACATCTTGATGACAATTTCCCCTTGTACCTGAAAGGGAAAACCTCTAGTTAGTGCAGAAAATGTCCATTATAAGGAAGCGTGTTTTAAGACTTAACTCACTTGTATTCAGAAAGCAGGAATAAAAGGCTAACCATGTCTGGGCTGTGGCTTGACATTTTATCTCCACTGTTTGCCCCACACAGAAGTGGGACATGGCAATTGAGGTCAGTGGTTAGTGTCAAAGCCTAGGACCAAATATGCAGCAACACTTGGGCTCCATGAGCTCAGGGTGTCAAAGGGGAGCTGGAAGCTGACATTCAGTAGCCAGGCAAAGAACTAGGTTACAAGCCAGGGGGTGATTTGCTTGCTTTGCCTGCTTGCCCACTTGCACATTTCACAGGCAAAAACTCTGGCCCAAACCCACTGACCCTGATGGCTGCCAGCCTGGCTCAGGATGGGGCCAACCTCTGCTGTCTGCCTAGGGTCTTTAAGCTAGAGCTTCTGGAGGGAAGAGCGAACGTGCCAGAGGGACAGGTAGGCTAAAGAAAGAGTGCTTAGCCTCACATTTCCACACCAGACCTCCCTGGGTCCCTTGCTCACCGTGGGGCTACGCTCATCCTGGCGGCTCTACGCCGCAAGGCCCTCACTGCCTGGCACGGAAGGGCAGAGCTCGCTGGCTCCAGGTCGCTAGGAGACGGCATAGAAGGTGCCTGTGGGCCAGGAGAGGTTCTCAGCCAAGTAACTCATCCCCAGGCTTCTCTGCTCTGTCCTTGAGACTTGTGCCCCACACGCTCCTCTTCCCTGCCCCCATGGTCACCATGGTCTGCCAGGAGCCCCTGCCAGGTGACACTACTGTTGCAGATAAGAAAGCTGAGCTGAATTATGGCTAACTTCTTTCTGGGTCATCAAGGCCAGGCCCTCCTCTGCTCTACCACAGTGTACAGCATGGGCACGTTTAATCTGTGCTCCCAGTTTCTTCCTGGGTGCTGCAGCCTGTCACTTGGCATGAAGAGGGCCTGCCCAGCAGCCCAGAGCTGTTTGCAGTGCTCATCAGCAAAAGAACAAGAAATTTTTTGTTGGTCTTGGGGCTGCTTCAGGACTGTATGGAAAGCTGTGAGCTTGAAGCAGTTCTGTCAGTCTCCCTAGGCTCCAGCTGTCTATCTTGTAATGTCTCAGCTCCTCCCAAGACCTGAGGTGTCCTCAGGAAAGAGAGCAGGTGGAAAGTGGGACTTAATGCCTAAAAGTATAAGATCAGGCACTTGAAAAGCTTTCATGTCCGTGTTCTTGACTGTTGCAGTCTGCATTGGAGGAAGATGCAGTCTAGTAGCTCTAACTTGATTTAAGGTAATAAAACTTTGACAATAGGAGACTTGCAGATTAGTGGGGCTTGGTACCGAAAGCCAGGTCCTCAGCAAACTGGTTATGCTGTTTGAGTTATCCAAATAGAGCCAAATGCTAGAGTCTCCCATGCTCCCAGTGCAGGTCCTGCTGCTTCCTCTCCTACCAAGATCTCTATTTCACAGCTGAGTGCCAAGTCATAGCCAAGTCATACGTACACAGCCGCTTGATGCATTCCCCCACTCCACAACATATTTCCTCCATGCCCCATCCCCTAGCATGGGATCCTTGGCCATGTTCAGTTTGTGAGAGTTCCCCAGTGCAGCAGTGAGGGCTCTAACGTTGCTGTGGCAGTGGTTAAATTCAGGTGTGCAACTGAGTAAAGAGGTCATAGTGTGGGCAGGCAGTCCACCCGGTGGCCAGAGGAGGAGGGGGACAGATTAGGTTCAAGGTAAAGTTTGTAGGAGAGGAGAGCTGACTGAGGAGAGAAATCTGGGTGAAAAGAACAGCAGGGGAAAGGTGGCCTGAAGCAATACTCTGTCCTCCTACACAGGCAGCTCAGTTTGATGCCTGTGAGTCATGAGCCATTATATGCAGAATCAGCTGATGAGTTAGGGAACCAGCAAACCAAACCAGAAGTAGTTGATGGGTAGGAGTAGTTCCACTGGCTAATCTTTGTATAACTCAGATTATGAGGAGTGTAGTTGCAGATGTGTAATTTTAAAATGTATTACATGATCTGTATCTCAAATATTGTACGTGTGTATGTGTGGCTTAGAATTCATGAGGACTGTGATTATTTAGCAAGAGAGAGTCAAAACATCTGAGTCAAGCAAGACCAAATTTCTGAAGAAAGAACATTTTTGGTACTGTTCTCATGAAAGTCGGTAAGTACTAATTCCCTCAGAAGCAAAAACAAGTGCCTACAGATAATTCTCTTGTCCCTTAAAAAGTCACTGTGCCAAATTTGGACGCCAAACAGTGAAGCCCTTTATAAACATAAATCCCATCCTGGCCTTTATGATGTGCTTGCTTCACGTGCATCCATATGCAGTTAAACTAAGAGCAAAACTGCTGTTCCATAGGCCACAGCTCTGTTCACAGCCCTTTCCGAGGTCACTGTTGAACCTGTTAAATTGCAGGGTATCTTTGCCCTGTAGTGAACTGCTTTCCTGCCAGCAGCTAATTTGTCATGTGTGGGAGTAATAAATTAAGCTTGAGTACAATGAAATTTGATGCCTACCAACTTCCAAGCCTTTCAGAAAATTCTCAACTCTCAGCTGAAATCAGTAGGTTATAGTTACATTATTATTTTATTAATTACGCATACAGTGCTGAAGACATACACAGTATGTGTAAATTCATTGATGAGAAGTGTGTGTATTAGCTATGCACGAAAGGCAGAAGAGCTACGTCTCTGAGAACATTTCCCTTGTCTAGAGTTGATGCACTTGTTTCTCAAGAGCTTCTCTAAGATTGGGAGCGTATTGCATATAAAGCTTCTGCTGTTCTCCTTGGCCCATGCTGTGAAATGTCCAGCTAACAAAGGCTCTTTGTGGTGAGCTGTCAGGAAAACTTGAACTGTTAATGATCTGGAAGTTACCTGTAGTATATTTTATGTTCTATTAATGAGCAGGGTTGAGTTTAAATGATAGCTAGGGGTTAAATTCCAGCCAGTATGCAAAACAGAGGAATGCTCCACCTTCCTAAAAGTATCATTC